ACGACACTGGTCACTCATTTCCACTCAAAATACCTACATAATCGGATTAAAAGTTTTATAGCTGTATTGTATTTCTTCAGATACAAGGTGGGTTAGTCGAAAACATCTTAAACTGCCAGTTTTAGTTTGGTTTTTGTTATTATATCATATTAGCTGTCCTCTCTGTATTTCAGTTCTCTAATGAGGGTCAAACTTGCAGTGAGCTATCAACAAATTATGAACGGACTATAGAATGGGAAAAAATTCCTATTGAACGATCAACAATAAGTTGATTTCACATCACTGTTGAATTTGTTCTCATGAGAAATATCCTAGATTATGCTGAATACCTGTTCTGGAAACTAACTGCTAACCAATTATCAATTTCTATTAATAAAGGTCGATAATTTTCATGAATTGCATAGTAAAGTAGTATGCAGAACCAGTCAAACTGAGGATGCTACTACGTTGTGAAACGCGAACTGGAAATATTGTGTACTATATTGTGAAAATTTGTAATTATTATCATAAATAGTGTAATTGATGTTCACTAGGTAATGGGTCAATTTCTTCTTCTATCTGGATGAAAAATAATGAAAAAAGTAAGTAAAAGCGCTGACATTTCTCCCTATCTAAGTGATCGACAGAAGACTCAATTCATGAATTTCAAAAATAAAAGGGGCTCCCCAAGGCTGTCAGTTGCAAATCCAAGCTTCGACATCAACCGCCAAATAAGCTTTGTCTTCTGTCATTCACAGCAGCTTTTATTGCAAAGAAATAAATGAAGCAAGAGCCTAAAAACAAAATGTTCAGTCTAGCACCACTCGCCCAATCAAACTGACGTTAATACAATGGAATGGTTCGAAAAAACGAATTTCGGTGGACATTCGTTGAATTTAAAAATACACACTGGTAGTCAAATTAATATTTTGAACTACAGTGACTTTTAAAAATTGCGAATTAGTGATAAGGCGCTCAGTCACACTAATTCTTATTTTTCATCTTATTCAGGTCAGTCAATTGGTTTTTTGGACAATCATATTCGAACTGCGACTACAAATCAGTAAATTTGAAAATGTTGTTATATGTGTTGAGCTTCAATAAACCATGCTCGATTTTGGGACTTGACCCGATGAAGTTATTGAAAATATTACCTGGACATGAGAATGTTCCTGATGTTAGTGTAATCGAGAAAAATGAATTACAATATATACTCAAATCTCATGAATCCGTTTTTATTGGCATAGGCAAAACTTATCGTCAATACAGTATAACTTTGTGTGACAACGCGATTCCATGCGTGAGTACACCGAGTAAAATTTCCATGGCCTTGAAATCGAAGGTCAAAAACAAACTTGGGCGAGTGGAAACAGTACTGATAGTGAATCATGAATGCTTTGTGTTAGGACTCTGAATTCAATCGATATTTTTAATTCATTTTGTCAATAAATTGTATACTTTTATTTCCTTGTTTTAATTTTCCAAAATAATCGTAGGTTGCCTTTTATATTTCGGGATTAGAGTGATCGACGCCGATCACCGGTCGGCGTGTGTGCCAGGTCCCGTACCCACATGTGGTTCACTATTGGAATTTGGACGACCGGTATAAAATCGGCCGTCCAAAATCGGTGTGTGTGCATTTAGCGTCACGATGTCATAGACGCGTTTCGAAGCACCGCGATCGTATTTTTTGAGCATTTCCTTCGAGTAATCGACACGAGCGATTGACAAATTGTGTGGGATCCAACGTGAACAAATTTTTTTGACAG